AACAGTGTCCACTGTCAAGTCCCGCCACTTTCAAAAAGGGTCCACTGTCACGTGACACTGTTTGAAAGTGGCGGGCTTCCTTTGAACGTTGGGTCCCGCCACTATTGAGTCGCTGGTACATCGTTCGACTCGCTGGTGCAAAGTTCGATTCGCTGGTGCAACGCTCGATTCGCTGGCGCATCGATTCGCAAACTATGACATCGGCCCTAGAGCGCTGAAAGGACTAGTGGACCAGTCCATTGCCTTTGCCTCTAATTGAAATGATAAATAGGAATGTAAATTCAAATGTTTTTGACTGAATGAGAAAATTCATACCAAAAGAGCCTCGCAATTAACTCTATGCAACAGGGTCAACAGCTCATTTGGCAAAATTCAGCAGGGGTGGTTTGGTAGGATTGAAATCGTAGATCTTCAGGGTTTGCAATAATTATTGTTGTTTGAAGGAAAAAAAACCTTTGCGAAATTCGGAGGAATTTCAAAAAATTCGCAATTTTCGCGGCTCATTTGCTACACCCCTCCCCTAACCTCCTATCATAGTGGGGCTGCGAAAGCGGGGCAGGGGCCGGGGAGGGGGGGGGGGAATGGAGGGAGAGAGTGGGACGGCCCACACCAATGAAGGAATTGGGTATGTCGTGCTGAATCAGAAATCGGCGAGCCGGGAAGGTGAAATCGCGCGTGTGATCAATGTATTGATTGGTTGATCTTTTGTTGCGCTGCGCTCAACGAGTAAGTTATCTTAGACCTGTGTAATGAATATTCTTCTTGGAGCTCACAGAAGTGAAAATAGAGGTGCAGCTATTTGGATGATCCAGATTCGGCCCGTTCACGAATAGTGTACAAAGAATGCTCATCCGTTAGCTTACGATGCATCGTGAGTCCTTCGTCAGTGAAGGAGGAGAACGATGACCCTGAAATATCGAAAAATGTTATGTTACTTTCGAAATAAAATAAAAACGGGAAAGTCAGATCGGTGGCACACACGGCAGTAGCAGAGACCGTCGCAAGCGCATAGTCCATGGATGAATTCCGCCCAGTCCTCCATCTATCACCACACCGAGATTAGTCGAACTCTCCACTGCGAGGGTGGGCAATGCTCGGTATATTGGCTGGCTCATCGTTTCATTAAGTAGGCAAAAACACACTCAAAAGATACTACGACTCCATATGGAACTCAAAAGCATGAATCAACAATTAAACAAGACACATATGAGCGATTTTATTCTTTCGAGGAGTCTTCACGGAAAAATCATGATACTATTTCAGCCATAAATCACTGGCTTGAGACTCATTATCCACGATAATAATGAAAAGAACAGAAATATTGCTTTTGTTTTGGTAAAAAATTCGAAAAAGTC